TCTTTAATAATGAAGAAGATGATAAGGAAGAAGAGGGTTGCTTTTCTATAAATTTGGATAATCCTGGGAATTGGAAAATCATCGATCAAAGAACAAGAGATTACTTAGTTGAAAGGGGTCCAAAAAGAGTTGATGACATCACGTTTCCGAAAGACTATACAAATAGACATTTCGATTCTTCACAATATAAGCGATTGCTACCAAATGGGCAAACAGTTGATAGAAGATGGCTAGTATATTCAGTGTCTATGGACAGGATCTGCTTTTGTTGCAAGTTGTTTAAAACACCAATAAATGCGACCAAAGTTGGTCAACTAGGTAATGATGGATTCAAAGTCATGAAGGAAATGAGGAGCATTTAAATTGCATGACTAGCTGGATTGGATTGGAAAATAGGCTTCGAACAAAAACTACAATTGATAAAAGCATTGAATTGTTGATTGATACTGAAAGAGACCATTGGAGACATATATTAACAAAGATAATCGCTATTGTGAAAAGACTTGTGAAAAACACCTTATCGTTTCGAGGAGATGATGAGAGGCTACATGTTGAGAACAATGGCTATTTTTACAAATGGTGGAAATGATTAGTAAATTAGATCCAGTAATGCAAGAGCACCTTCGGCGGGCTAAAGCAAGAGAGATTCAATATACGTATCTTGGCAAAAAAATTCAAAATGAGTTGATACAGTTGTTAGCTAATGAGGTGAGAAGTTCAATTGTCAAGAAAGTTAAACGTGCAAAATATTTCGCAGTTATACTTGATTGTACTCCATATGCAATTCACGAGGAGCAAATGTCTTTAATTGTACGATTTGTAGATGATTCGGCAAACTTACCTACAGTTGAAGAACATTGGCTAGACTTTTTGAAAGTAGATGACGCAACTAGACTTGGACTTGCAACCGAGCTTCAAAAGGCGTTGATAAAACTTGATCTCAATATTGATGACATTAGAGGGCGAGGGTATGGCAACGGATCTAACATGAGCGGAAAGCACAAAGGTGTGCAAAAAAGAGTTCATGAAATGAATCCCCGAGCTTTCTATACTCCATGTGGCGCTCATAATCTAAATCTAGCATTATGTGATATGGTGAACTGTTGTTCCAAAACTGTATCTTTCTTCGCAGTGATACAACGCATCTACACATTATTTTCCTCTTCTACCAAGCGATGGAAAATTTTCAAAGATAATGTATAAGGGTTGACAGTAAAGCCATTGTAACAAACACGTTGGGAAAGTCATGTTGAGAGTATGAAGCCTATAATGGAGCAAACTGCACAAATAAGAGATGCATTACATGATTTGGCGGAAAGTAATGAAGATCCTAAAGTGAAGAGTGAAGCCAAGTCGTTAGCAACACATGAACTACAAAATTTTGAGCTTTTGCTTGGCATGATAATCTGATACAGGTTGTTGCATGCTGTCAATATTGTGAGTAAATTTCTTCAAACCGAATCCATGGATATTGATCATGCTATCGACCTCTTGCAAGGACTTGTTTCATTTCTTGAAGAACATAGAGAATTTGGATTTACTATTGCCAAGGATGAAGCGACAAAAAAACAAGAAAAATGGGAATTGAAGCTGTATTTACAGAAAAATGCATAATTCGAAGAAAAAAACAATTTGATGAAAGCGATAGTGATGATGTAAAGCAATCAACAGAAGAATCTTTTAGAGTTGAGTACTTTGTTTTTATAATTGATGAAGCTCTATCTTCTTTTAAGACCCGATTTGAACAATTCAAATAATATGATGACACATTTGGATTTTTGTTTAATTTGAAGAGGCTAAGGGGTGTAACTTTTTCAAGATTGTTGAACTCTTGTATGAATCTTGAGAAATATCTTCAACATGATGGGCGTTCGGATATCAATGGGGATGATTTATGTTCGGAGTTACAAGTCTTGAGGTGTTATATACTAAGTGAAGCAACAAGAGCAATTGAAGTGCTACAATATTTGAAGATATTGAATGTTTGTTTTTCAAATGCTTATATTGCTTACAAAATTTTGCTAATCATACCGATTATAGTTGCATTTACGGAAAGAAGTTTCTCGAAATTGAAGTTGATCAAGACCTATCTCTGATCAACTATGTCGCAAGAAAGATTAAACGGGTTGACTATGTTATCAATAGAAAAAGAAATGGTTGAGTAGTTAAATTATTCAGATTTGATTGATGTTTTTGCCTCTAAAATAGCAAAACGAATAGTATTTAACTAATTGTTTCAAACATTGGTGGTTTTGATAGTGTATAATATAAATCTTTTCTATAATATATTTGGTTGTTTTAATGTTAGTTTTTCAAGTTAGTAATGAGTCGCATAATACATCGTTGAATTTTGCATTTACTTTGATTTTGTCGAGGAACTAATTTACAGACTTCGCCTCAAGCCCCGAGAATCACAGGACCGACTCTGGGTGTCACCAATTGGATTGAACAGTCGACGGTGGTGATTTTTGTGACTAGAGAGGATAGAGAGATAGATAGAGAGAAAAGTGAGACAAGGGTGGAGAAATAATTTAGGATTTGTAGTGGGGTTGGGGTTGGAGTGGGTGGATAAATTTTATAATATTGTTAATAATTCAATCAATAGGTATTTTGGTTAAAGAAACCTCACACTAGTTTTTAAAATTAGAAAATTAAAAAACATGTTTATATGTAATTTCCTCTGTTCATTTTCCTATAACAACATTTTTTATTGTTCTTCATTAAATTATTTCCATTAATATTTTAAAAACTGATCCATCCATCGACCCAGAAAAGAGAGAAAAACAAGGGTCAAACATGGTTTAAGTGGGGTTAACCAGGTTATCTTTTTAAAAAAATGAGAATGAAGTGTTAATGGGCCAAATTTACCAAAAAATAAAAAATAAAAACCTATGAAAAGGTAGTAAAATAGAAAAATTTAGCAAAAATGCCCAAACAACGGAAATAGAGGGGGTTTGTTTCATGAAAAAGGAAAATGATGCACATACAGAGGTAGGGGCGGGCCCCACAATTTTTTTAAAATACGTGTGGGGCCCGACCCAAAACAGTGCCCTTGTGAACCGATATCCACTAATATCTTTTCGGGGAATTTACAAAATTGTCACCAAAAATGAAAGTTAAAAAAAAATGTCATTTTCACTTTATGTGAGCAAAAATGTCACATTTTTGGGGTGCAAAATCCAAAATACCCTTAATCACACATTTCTAGTAGCATTAAATGCTTGATGTGAAGGAAAAGCATTGACTTGATAGAAAACATGGATAAATGTGTATTTTATTGATTAATATGAATTTTTGTTAATAAAAAATTACCAAATAAATTAGAAAACGAAACAAAAACAAGAAACCCTACCTCTTTTCCATCTTCTTCATTTTCATTGATCAAGAAGACATTTGTGTTGCATTTTACATCCACTTTAAGAGGTTAGCAATTACAAATTAATTTATATTACTTTTATAACTTTGTATTTGTACATATTAAATAGAACATGGGCATATTTATTTGAAATTACTTTGAAAGTATTATGCATTCATTTGTTTGATTTTTTTGAATCCTTAATAAAATGTCATTATCACCATTGAGTAATTTCTTCCATTACCACCATTAAGGTCTCTTTAATGACAAGGCCAATATGCCATTTTCATTTTGTCATTTGGTAGGTGAATAATAATGACCACACTTAATATGATGTGTTGAAGAAACCTCAGAAATTCACTACCGTCTGCTTCCCGACATTCTCGACAGTTAAACTGTCGAGTTCGACATTTACAAATCGTCGGGTTAGACGTTTGAGATGTCGAACCTGACATTTCGAAACTGCCGAGTTATAGAATATTACTTTCAATTTGGATACTTCAAAACGATACAAACCCTTGATTTGAACTTTTGTTATTGTACTGATTTACGTATTATGAAGTGTGAGTTTCATGCTATTAAATGCCAACATATTGATTCCGAATTGTTACCATTGCAATCCCAACATTTCAGGTATGAATAATCATTTGAGGTTCGTCGTGTCGCATGGGGGAAATTTTGTTCATGCGGATGACGAATGGAAGTGGAGAGGGGACAAAACTACCTCCATTTTGGTGCCAAGAAGTATTACTGTAGCCGAACTTATGTTAAGGCTGCAGGAGAAACTTGGTATTCTTGATCCCCGCGCTCAAATTGAATTGAAGTTCAAAGTCCCTAACTTGAATATAGCTCCGGCTGAAATATGCAACAATGAAGACTTAAATTGGTACGTATCAGTGCATAAGGAAAGTGCTATCTGCGTTACTGTTTTGGAATCCGATCTCCCAAGTGTTGACATGGGAAGGGATGCAAATTTTGAAGATCCTTCGTTTGCCGCGGTAGATGTTCTGCCAAATGTGGAACATGATTTCGTGAATCGAATGCATAATGTCTCAAACAATAATGCACTTGAAACACATTAGTATGATAACGGGAGTGCACTATTAGATGAGAACTTGGATAACCCATCACCTAGTTTAGAGGCTGCTAATTCTGTTGACGTCGAGGACGAGCACTCTTTGTCACATTCGAACGATTCGGATGGATATGAATTTATGAGAACTGTGACTACATCCGATCTTGCCGAAAAGGAAATATTCTTCAGCAAGAAAGAGTTGTACTCAAAAATTCGTGCACTTGCTTTGAAAAACAAGTTCCAATTTCGGGTGAGCCGGTCAAGCATGAAGATGTTAACCGTTGTATGCGCCGACCGCAGTTGCAAGTGGATGTTACGTGCTTCTACTGTGAGGCAGTCTGCAATCTTTGTGATCCGTAAATTCAATAATGTGCACACATGTTCCATCGATTTTCGCAGTAATGCGCATCGACATGTGACGAGTGATGTAATTGCCAAGCATATTTTCGAAAAATTGGATAATCCGAACCGATCGTATGATCCGAGCACTATTGCACGTGACATGAACGTGAGCTCGGTGTCCAAATAAGTTACAGCAAGGCACGTAGGGGAAAGGTGGCTGCTTTACATATGTTGCATGGGACACCGGAGGACAGTTTTCAGAAATTATCTTCATACTGTCAGGTATTAGGTGAGAATAACCCGGGGACGGTAACCCACATCGAACTTGATTCGCACGATAGATTCCATTACTTCTTCCTAGCTTTTGGTGCAAGCATTCGTGGTTACATACAGTACTTGAGGCCCATTGTTTGCGTTGACGGTAGTCACTTGAAAGGTCCATACAAGGGTACACTTTTACTGACAACTGCCCAAGATGCCAACAAACAGATTTATCCCTTAGCGTGGGGGATTGTGGATTCCGAAACTAACCGATCTTGGATGTGGTTTATGTCTAACTTGAAAGATCTTATAGGAGACTCAGATGAACTTGTATTTGTTTTGGACAACAAAAGAAGTATCGAAAGAGCTATTACTCACTTATTTCCTTTGTCTCATCATTGTTGTTGTATGTGGCATGTGGAGAAGAACCTAATTCGGCGGCACTTTAACGCAAGTTCAATATTCTTGTTCAAACGAGCTGCTACAACTTATAGGGTCGAAGAGTTCGAACGACTAATGGGACAGATTCGTAGGGTGAGTGAAAGATGTTACAGGTATTTGGAGAAAGCCGGTTTTTCATTCTGGTCACGAGCACTATTCATGGGAGACCGATACAACATTATGACAAACAACAACGCAGAATCATTGAACTCAATGTTGAGACATGCTCGTTCGTTGCCAATCACGTGTTTGGTTGAGCACATTCGTAAAACAATGCAGAGGTGGTTTTACGAACGTCGAAGCAATGCAACCGCATGCAGTACTATATTATCGTCGAGGATGGAGAACGAGTTACAAAAAACATTTGAAGCTGGTACTAGGCTTCGAGCCCATGAGTTGACAAACAGCTTGACCCAGGTTGGAATATCCAACGATATGGAGATAGTGGACTTCTCCGATAACACATGCACATGTCGTGAGTTTCAACTAAATCGTATGCCATGTGCTTATGCAACTCGTGGTGCTACCCTGAGTGGTAAGTCATTATACGATCTATGCTCTCCGTACTATACATCGGAATACTGGGGGGTGCCTATATGGAAGTCATATATCCCGTTACACGGGAAGTGGATTGGGTTGTTCCAAATGAAATCCTAGGCACTCATATTTTGCCACCGACTGTACGTCGTCCTCCAGGTAGACCACCGACGCGACGTAAGCGAGATAGATACAAGTCCACTTCCCAACTGAGGAAATATACTCGATGTGGGAGACTTGGTCATAACCGGACCACATGTTCGAACCCTATTGTATCACAAGCCACTTGAAGAAGCGTGATGTGTAAAAGTGATTGTCAAATGTAATCCCCGAAAAACTTAATTTAAATATGCATTGTACATTCCTAACTTATTTTATGAATCTGTTATTATTATCGTATGCCAGTGCAAATTTGGTCGTTATGTTCCGCAAGCAAAGTACCGATCATTACAGTTCCATTATCACGAATGAGATGAATACCATTTTCGTACTATAAACTTAGCCGATCATAGAAGTTTCATTAGCTTTGACTGACAGTTTGTCGAATTGGAAAATTGATTTTCATGAGACCATACTGAACAAACAAAACACCAACATTACGTCTCGACAGTTCATATGTCGTTCCCGACAGATACTCTCTGTAATTCTCAACAGTTGGGAACAACAGCGGCTTGAAAACCTACACTACTGCGGTTGCCTATTATGGAGATGCAGTTTCTGCACGTATCCAGAGAACGTGACCAAAATCATCCATACCACAAAATACGAAACATATTTTCCTACAGAAGGGCCATTTATTGCACACTTGCACTGCTTTTGACAATGTAAGAAGCTTCCCCACTTTCCCCATCAGACTCGTCTGAGCTAATGACAATTACTTCTGGAGGTGGAACATGAGCCACCCACTCGTTCAAGTCGGACGGTGACTTGACCGGACCCCTAACCTCGAAGACTTGATCGACAACCCTGTTCGGTGACTTAGATTCTGCACTTGACACGTCATCGACCTCGGCACCATGCTGTTCAACTCTTACATCCTCATCGTCTGACAACAAAACGATGGGAAATTCAGCGGATGAACCCAATATGGGTGGATGCATATTGGAGTTGAATGTTTCATTGCCAGAGGTGGATGAACCCATTATCTCGTATCAACTACCTGTTTCAAAATGGAAGCCTCAGAACAGCTTTAATGACATATGAAATGTAATTTGATAGACAATGCTTGTAATGCATTCATTATGATAGTATAAATGTATTGGAAATACTTGTTACTTGCAAAAAATCAGAAACGTATAATATCTACAATAGCATGTTACACTAACACACTTGTATTGGACAATCCCACCATTTTCAATTATCGAAACGCAACGAACTTATAAAATTGAATGGCCCGCCTAGTTGAACTGTCGGGCCCGACAGATGTTTTCTTCCTTCTCGACAATTGACGAAAACGTTCATTGCAGTAAAAATCGTATAATTTCAAATTTTGGTAAACTGCAGAATAAATGAAGATTAATAAATAGAAGTAGCTCTTTCTTACCACAATGTTGTTCAACTACATTGAAAGTGTCACAATGATCTGTACGTAAGTTCAAAGTGGCACAATACCTTGGCACCAAAATTGATTGTAAGCAACAATGGTCTCCTGGTATTTATAATCATCCTGACAGGAGGAAGTAATTACTTCATTTACCTACCCAACCACCAAGTTCAATCTCTAAATAAATTTGAAAAGCAATTGGTGTGATGGTTAATATAATAAGTGTACCTTTATCCCCCATTGTACCATCATTACTATAACATTGGCAGAGACTAAAATACTTCAATGATGTGTAAAATTCATGTTATCTGGTTGCTTGCAAGAAATTACTTCTCATTTGCCTGCTTCTTAGTTGCACCATGGTTGCAATGGTACAGTTTCTCACAAAACCCTCTCATCATGTTAACCCACATAATAACATACGAAGGACAAAGGAATATACATAAACTCATTCGTCAATTAGTTGTACCATGGAAGTCATGACTTTGGCACTTTTAATGGGTCCTCATCTTAATCCAATCTACAGTTTACTAAGGAACTACGACATTCAAGCCCGCTATCTACTCGTAAATGGATATTCGTAAAACGTACGCATACATAATTTTTGGCGCAATACAATGTACGAGCGTTGACGAACATTGAATGAAGGCACTTAGTACTATAAGTACGATTGACATAACATAATAAAGTCGGATAACTAATACAAGTTGTAACACTACAATAATTTCAGCAACGGTAAACGGTGACAAGGCATTCACCATGGGAATTGCAAAATGTGATGAATGCTTCTAAGTGTTACGAAGCTTGCCAACTACCCTGTCTGATATGTAAATCACAAAAATGAATGAAAAAGGCACCAATGTAACGCGAAGTAACTAACATCCTTCACCAGGTAAATTACATCAAACAAAAGACAAAAGCATGCTGAACCCCGTCATCGTGCTATGTTTGGCAATTTATCCACAATTACTAATGTTTTTGCTTTGCGCTCCCCCTCGTGTACGGAGTCCTGGTAGCAGGTGCCGAACGTCACAGTCGTGCGGATCGTCATCTATTTGTCGTAACTGCCCGTCCTGGTGGGGCTACATCAACGGGAATTGGGAAAGTTACAACGTAAGCAAATGAAACGAAAAATAAATTCAATTGTCAAAGATTAAGGCAATACCTTGCACTTTATCCACTGCAGCGAGCGCTAGCACGAGGTCATTGTCGGGGCATGGGTCAATGTGTACTGTGTCTGTCGAAAGGAACAATTAAATATTTTCAGTGTATAACTACATGTACGAATTTTCAAATTATGCCAAGTACATGAAACAACAATCTACAAGTTTTCCTCATAACTGACCCACATACCTTGCAGATTTATGGTTCCAGTAGGCACCATGTCCTGCTCTTTCTCACGATCGCCAGGTGATGGGTGGTGGGCCCCTTCGACTACAACAAATGAACAATTGTAAACTAATCGAATGCCTGAAATAATATTTGTTCAAATCGTGAAAAATAATGCAATACCTTGCACTTCTTCGACTGTAGAGGGCTCTGGCATGGGGTGATCCTCCGGGCACGGCTGAATGTGCGCTATGTCTATTCAGAACAACAACGAAACAGCGAATGAAAAGTGAATTTTAACAATTTTCAAAACTTTCGAAACATATGAAATGATAATTAATCAATTTGCTCAAAAGTAACCGACGTACCTTGCAGACTTTCGGTTCCAGTGGCTAGTGGCATATCCTGCTCGTCCAGGCATGGCTCCATGTGTTCTTCATTAATGCACATACCATCCCCCTCTTGCCTGTCAATCCCCATGTCTTCGTCGAGACCGTCAGGCGATGGGTGGTGGCCTGCAAAGCCTCCGTAGTCTACAATGAATGAACAATTGTCATACAGAACATGTCAGTGAGCAGGGATAAAGTGAACATTGTCATAATCAACTGTAGTACGCATACGGTGAAGTACCTGATTGTCTGGGCTCGGGGTCCACTTTAGTCGCACATGCAGTGGTTGTAGAGCTGGATGCTGGGACGATGGTGGATATGAAGTCCTTCAATTTTTTAAATTCATCGGACATGTGCTGCATGAGTTCGAGCTTCACAGTGTGGAGCCGCATTTCGAACAGAATTCTTTGATCTAGCAACATGCCCTGAAAATCGTTTGCTGTGAGGCTTGATCAGCCGCTGCAGTAGGTCGTACATGAGAGGTGGACGGTGCCATGGGAGAAGTAGCTCTATGCTGGTGGGGTGGGGGGAGAAGTCCCCGTCTGTCCACTTCGTCCAACTCGATCACTGTCACTATCCTCACTGTCGTCCTCCTCCAAGTCCCCACCTTCGTCCTCTCTGCTCTCATCGGCTCCTGACTCCTCCTCACCACCACTGGTCCTCCCACGGTCATGGGCCTCCTCAGAAGTATTACCCTCGAGGGTGCCTATACGCTCTGCTTGGAACTGCGGAGCAACACTGTCCCTAGCGAGGTCATCCAACGCAGGGACAAGATCATCATTGAGCAGCACAAGAGTTGCGATATGAGGTTGCCCACGCTCAGTCTCGGTGGGCCGCAGTGTCGCGTACACGTGTAGCTACAACATGAACATATTCGTTACGAAATAACCACATGCTACAATGACGAGTGGAAGGTATGAGATCGTAGAAGTAACATAATTTTTTACCTGTACATTCTTGAAGAAAGCGTCGTACGTACGCTGCTGCGACTGTTTTGTTGATGTCCAGCCGAGAAGCCGTGGGGAACGTTTCCCATGACGCTCACCGAAGCGATCACCAATTTCAGGCACCGCCTCGAACGCCCATATCTGTTAGAGTAAAAAAGGAATGTGAGTTCTGAACGAAACCAACCACGAAATACATTTGCATTGAAATAATTAGTAGGTAAAATAAAGATACCTGTATGGCAATGGGAAAGTCGTGGACCGTGTAGCTAAACGCCTTCTCCTTCTTCTTCCTCGCATCCAAAAATTTTCTTGCCCAACGGCCCCGAAAGCCCTTTATCAGCCGTCCATACGAGATTCTACCCCAAGGATACGAAAAGAACAAGTCTAGATCGTCGACGATCGACAACGTCTCCATATCGATACCAACGTTGTTATCCGGAGTATTGAAGACTCCTTCGATGATCAAAGCGAGGCCAAGCTTATACCGATCGGCTCGAGGCGTTGACGATCGAAGAAATGTCTGCTCGAGTTGGGCGCAAGAAATCTTGTCCACATTTTTAAAGTATTTGTCCTTCAGTCTCCTCTTCTCAAGAACTCGATCCATGACATTGTCATCTGGGAGAAGACCACACCTTAATCCAGTCACAAGGGCATTCTCTTGAATTCCGAACCTAGCGAGGTGGCCTTGCAAATTAAACCACAGTTCGTGCCGCTTCTTTGTTTGTATGCAGCAGAATACGAGTTGTTGGATTAATTGGGCAGAGAACTGGAGATCTGGAACCTCGGACAAGAACTCAAGGCATGAGTTGCGAAACTCTTCCAGCTGTCGCTCGTCAAAATGTTCCAAGACTGTTTTTATGTACCGCAGATTGCTTCTCTGCGATACGTGGCCCCGCAAGCGTGCATTCTCTGGAACAAGAGGCTCGAAATTCATGTCTACAAAGACAAAATAAGAAAAAATTGCATCAGACCACAATATAAACTTCCTCCCAACATTGAAACGGAAGATATTCCCACATCAAACATGATTTCCACATCAGAAATTGTTGCATGCAAAAAATAAAAGGAATACTGATATCTGAACGCATATCACATAGAAATATCATTTTCTACTGGTAAGCCCTAGGCAGGCAGGAACTGAACTGTTGGTCCCGACATTTTATCCCTCGACGGTTCATCTGTCGAGAATTACAGAGGATAACTGTCGGGTACGACAGTTGAGAAACAACTATGGATAGATGAACTGTCGGGAAATCCTGTTTTGAATATGTTCCTGGTTATTAACATATTTTGATTATACAAAACTAAAAATAACTGCAACTGCAAAGAAAAGACCAATCTTTGAACCAATGGAATGAGCTGTTTACGGCTAATATGTAGAAATTTAAAACCCTGTGCTTGTCCTATTTACACAGTATAACCCCCCTCAAACTTGCTAAAGTTGCATATGTTTCCTTGAAAACCCATACAATTTGTAATGCATATTTCTAAACCATAAGCTTATTCCACATTAAATCTAACAAGCAAATTAT